ATCTTCTAATAGAAATTCATTCATATTAAAATAATTATCTATTCTTTTGAATTCTATCTGTTTTATATATTTTATCATATTCAATAATAGTTTCTTTTTTATTATTTTGACCAAATTTCTAATATTATATCTATATAATTTAATCCTTCTCTATATTAAATATATTGCGCATTCATTCCATCATTTGTTAATATATAAAACTGGAAACAATAATTCATTATTATCACATAATCTTTTATTTTGTATTCGTAAATATTGAAATATTTCTATTATAATTTTATTCAGAAGATTTATATCAAACTTTTTTGATAGTTTACTTTTTGCTGTCTATGAAGCAGGATACTCTGTATCTAATATTGTATTCTGCTTTTTATCTTGTTATATTTTCTCAAAATTTAGTAAACTATTTGTAGAGTGAAGCTCATTTTCTTTGAAAATAATCAAATTTAGAATTTCTGGATATAACAGTTTCTATGTAATTGATATATAATTTTTTACTACACAAACTCTATTTTTCTCAAATTTTAGCTTACCCATTTCTATTCCTGTTTTAAGTTTTACTTTTCTAGCTATAATAAAGCTATCTGTATATATACGTTTTATTTGATCTCCTAGTGGCATCACAATTTCTAATATTTTTTTTTATGCTGATACTAATAAGAATAGCTTTATTCATAGATGTAAACTATAATTTTGTTTAGTTCTTTGCTCATATAATGCACCCCATAATAAAACTAATAATACTTTACTAACTTTTTTTTTCTATTCTACTTTCTTTTTTAATTTTGTATAATATATTACCCTATTCACCAAACATATCTTTTCCTGTTATATATACATTTCTTTCATAAATAAGTGTATTTGGTGATATATTCATTAATGTTACTTTAATTCATTTTTTCACATATATTCTAAATCATAATATGTATAAATTCTATGAGAATTATAATGTAAATATCTTATAAATTGAAGACTTTTCTTTAGAAGATTTCCTTCTATTGTTACTTTATAAATTTTATAAAGAAATTTACTCTATTTTTCTGTAAAAGATGAGTTTATAGTATGAAACTTACCTGGTACAATTGGCCATGTTACATCTTTTTTTATCATTTCAAATATATACATTGAATTTATATCGTATTGATTAGCTTCTCCTTCATATCTTTCTGCAAATATTAGAGTACCAGTTGTTGCTAAATCTATCCATACACTTTCTTGTTCACTTATTTTTTTACTTTTTTAGAGTACTAAAGTAGTTTCTTTGAAAAATTTTATAGTTGTTAATATATAATTTCTAGATATACGTATATTAATTCTACTATTAGTTTTTTTAGCAATAGCTTTAGACTCATCATTAATTCTTTTATATACTTCTATAATTGTTTCTCTATTATTTGCTTTAATAAAATGATATTTGTTATATAATACACAAAAATCTTCTTTAACTCTATACCATTTTCTTTTCCTATCATAAAACTCAAATCTATTTACTATATTTTTATGAATTAAGATAGTTTTATCTTAGTAACTCATACTATTTTGTTTTGAACTAGATAATGCAAAGTATCAAGAATATTGAGCTTCAAGTCTTTGACTTATTTCTGATTCTTTTATCTGAGGTTGACTGCTGGCGCACTTGCCTCTCTTAGCTGAAGTGTTAGTAGGTTTTCATCAAATGATATGAGATCACTTTTAGGAGTTGATAACAGATTTTGCTCTGAAGTAATATTTTTAGTTTGAGATGTATTTTGCTCTGGAGTAACGTTTCCTACATTTTGCATTATAAGTAAAGCTAGTTGGCATTATCCTTTATGAAGGTTTCCATTTAAATTCATGTATTTATTAAAATCTCAAGTTTTACTAGTTCTTATTTCTTGATCACAACCTGGACATTTAAGTATTTTAACCATAGTAATATGTTTTTTCAGTATTTTTTATTAATATACCCGATCTTTTATTTAAATAAAAAAAGATTATTCATTTATTAAAATGTTTAGTGAATATATCAAAGGAAGTAAATATATTGAAAAGTTAGAAGGTAAATATATATGCGAATATATACACAATTTTGGAGAAGTCTGTGAATATGGGTATTGATATTCTAAAGGGTATTATGAACATTGGAGATCTAAAAAACATGTTTTATGTGATGAATGTAGAAAACCTACAGCTTCTGCTTATAGACATTGCAAAAAATATTCTAAAGGATATTATGTCATGCAATTTTATGCTCAACAGCTTCAGATACTTGAAGACTATTCATGACTCTTCAAGTCATTCTTCAGACCTGCAAGATAATAAAATTTAACTATCTTTTTTATCATAGAAATCTAATTAATAACTAAAAGATTACTATGCTTTGCTTCACTCTGCAACTGCATTGCTCACACTTAAGGTATATACTCCTTAGTATTAAGAAACTAATTGTAAATTAAACAGATAACTAATACTATACTATGCTTCATATTCAAAGTCACTATGCTTCTCCAGTACAAAAAACTAAATAGAAATCAAATATGATAACTATGCTTCGCTTCACTCTGCAACTGCATTGTATATCCTTAAGGGAGTGTACTTCTTAGTAATAGAAAGCTAAATAGTAATTGAAATAAATATCAAAAAAGTATACTAAGTGTGAAGTATATATAAAAATCCACTATTCATATAAGTTTTTTATATGTTATATATAAGTTATATAAGTTATTAAAAATATGATAAAAATTTGAAAAAAAATAAGAATGAATAGTGTTATCAAAAAAAATACAACTGTGTACCTAAAAAGCTCACTATTCTATTACTACTTATCTAGTACAAATCTACTAAATAAACAAGTAATATAAAAACAAAGTTATCTACTGAATTTAAGATACTCTATTCACTAATTTACTTTCTATTATTCTAAAAAATTTTAACTCAAACACAGAATACCAAGCTTCTTATTCTGTTAAAACTAAACTACTCTTCTACTTATAAGGCTAAAATATATATGATCTAGCTAACTATATTTTAACAAATCAACATATTTAGCAAAGTAGTTATTTTAGTAGCTGTATAGACTATATAAAGATATACTATTCTACTATACTTTATTTTTAAACTTTATACTTACAGATCCTAATACTATTTTTAATAGTAATCACCAAATCTTTACTTCTTCATAGTCTTTTTCTTTTGCTTTTCAAAATAAGATTAGATATAAAAATAATATTGGATATAGAATATTTAATTATAAGTCTATAAACTCTAAACTATAAAAAGAATTTACAAGGTCTGGTGATCTTAGTGTAGTAGTTAAGTTGCTAGATCACCATGCAAGAGGTTTGGGGTTCAAATCCCACTGTCAACAAATTTGAATAATTATCTAGATCTTTGTACCTAACTTCAGTAAACCTTGTCTGTTTCTAGAGTTGTAATCCTGTAAATCATATTGCACTAATATTATCTGAATATTAGAAATGTGATGCAATATTTGAAGAGACATAATGTTATACAAATAAATTTTAATAGGATCTACAAGCAGGGGACCTGCATAGTAGAAACCCTAAGTGAGTGAAGTAGTACAGCTTTTGATAGTCACACTAGCTAACGCTTAATTCAGAAGGATATAGTGCTCAAAGATTTTAATTAGGTTAGGTGTATATAAGTTTGTATCGTTGTGGTAATTACTGTATGTTATGGTAGCACCAACTTGGCTTGGTAGCTAACAAGATTGGGAGGATCTAACTCATAATAGGCCTCAGCAAGATCTGTAAATGATACTAGTGGAGAGCTACAGTAGGAACTAGAGTCACACGAATATCCACAAGGGTCTTAGCTAGATGAATCTGTGAAATGGGTACAGACTGCTCTAGTAAGTATACTTCCAAGGTTAACTGGAGCTCTGCAGCTCACAATATATTGGGCATACACATCCTAAGAGGACCTAAGCTGTGTAGTAAATAGATCTATAGGTAAGCTAGCTGGCTTAAGTGGTCAGCCATAGTGGTGATGTTAGTTTGGGATAGGAAGAAGAGTTAATAATTAGAGTGTTTAAATAGGTAACTCATAGGCGGGTTGCAGATATAGCAGCATGTGTAGAACCAACAGATAGTCGATCATCTGTATAGCAAACTACTTAAATTAGATAATGACTAAAGTTGTATATATAGCTTGTTGTATACTCATCATGTAACTGTAAAATCTTAGGAAACTGTTCATGTGATAGTTCTGCAATAACAAACTAATAAAAATCTAATCAGCCAAGGAAGTGGCCTTAATAACAAAAAAAAATACAACTATGCAAAGTAAGAAAAAACAAGAGTCAAATATGGGATCTGCTATAGCTATTAGCAACTCACTATGTCTATATATATATAATATTCAAATATATGAAGATTACGGAATAGCAATAGACTCATTTTTCTCTAGAAATCAATGCTATAGAATTATATCGATATATAATTCATGTAATAATACTGCAGCAAGAAACTCAATTATGCAAAAAGTGATCCAATAGATCCAAAATGCCAACTAATTAAAAATAGAAAATATAGTACTCAGTGATTTCAACTATACTTTAGAACAAAATATTAGACCTAATATACTTAAAATCATACAGGCTCTAGAGTTAACTAGCATTTTTAAATATTATGATATAAATAAGCCAACCTGGTCAAGAGCTATAAATTTATCACAAATAGATGATATATAGATCCCAAATTATCTAACTAATTGCTTCCTAGCTCCAATAATTACAAATACAAAATATATCACTCACAGTAATCATAAAATAATATCTGTTAAATAGCTTGTTCACCTATTTAATAGGATCAAATGAAGAAATTCTTGCAAGAGATGGATTTACAAATATAATAGAATAGATACAGACAAATAGCAAGAATTCTCTTCAAATGTTGACAAAAAGCTCATTTCTGAAATATACAAAGTGCAAAATATATATAATCTCAACAAATTATGATACAGATTCAGTGATATGATAAGTCAATCAGCTAAAAATAATATTCATAGAACTAAAACAGTTCCTAAATTCTTTTATGGTCATAATACCAAAGCAACCCAACTACACAAAGGGCTTAAAAATATCAACAAACTGCTATGTAATCTAAAATATGATCCCAATTAAAGAAATCATTTAGACAAATATAATCAAATAATCGAATATATTAACTTACTTACTTATCTAGGAATAAAAAGAATTACTGAAGAGAACACAATGTCTAACAAATTAGCAGAAACAATTGAGTTAATAAAGATATATCAAAAGACACTTCATACTGCTAGAGAAGCTAAAAATCTTTAGGCTGCAAGAGATAATATTTATAACAACATTTAATATAAATATGACAACTTCAATAGCAACACAACTAAGATGATAGATAGTATTATTAATAGACATACACAACCAGTTGATTTTAACCAAATTGTCCTTCCAGATTTAATTATCACAGATGAGAATGAAATTAAAACAGCAGTTAAAAACCATTTTAACAACTAGACTAAGTCTAATACAGTATACTCACCTCTTTGGCAATCATGATAACATGAGTACAAACCTAAAGAAAATATATCATCCTTATGGTATGATAGTATTACAGAAATAATTAACATAGAGGAACTTAAACAAGTTGTCTCACAGGCACCTAAGCATAAAGCGACAGATCCAACTCTAATTGCAAATGAAATGCTAACATATCTATCAGACAAAAGCTTAAGCCTATTACTAGAAATTATCAACTCAAGCCTATTACTAGAAAAAATTCCTGCTCAGTAGAAACAAAGTCTAGTATATCTAATATCTAAAAAGGCCAAATATACAGGACAATTATGTTATACTTGTCCTATCACATTAATTGAACACGCTAGAAAAATTCTAACAAAAATTATTACTAACAGATTTAGCAAAGTCTTTACTAAATATCTAATACTTGATCCACACAACTACGTCGCTATTCAAGATACCTCAACCACAATTCTAATTACTTCCTTTGCACATATTATAGAAGATGCTCAAGTTAATAATAGAAAATTGTAGGCACTTTTACAAGATATGAGTAAGGCTTACGATATAGTACATATACCAATACTAAAGTTAGCACTACTCAGAATCAAAGTTTCTATTAAAATTGTTAATATAATCATAAATATTTTTACTGATCAAACCAACAAAGTCATATTAAATAACTTCTTCACTGAACTATATTCAGTTCAAGACAGAATAGATCAAGGAGAGACTATAGCTCCTATTTTATAGTAAATTTACTATGATCCTCTACTGTCTAAAGTTACAGCTAAACATCAAGGATACAGAATTCTTAGCACCTTAAAGAATAATACCAACATAATTAATACAAAAAATACAACAAATATAGCTGTATTAGCATATATAGATAATACATTATGGCTAGCAGACTCAAAACAAGAGCTCATCAATATTATAAAAACAGCTCAATCTTTCTTTAAATTTGCAAATATAATAGTAAATCCTAGCAAATCAGTACTAGCTATGACAAGTAAAGAGACCAATAGCTTTATTAAATTTAATAATAGTAGGATCCTAGCAATTCAAAAAACTAATACATTTAGATTTCTGGAATATTGTTTTATGATGAACAAAAAATATACACTCTGTTACCAAATTATCATCAAAAAAATTACAGATGTACTTGACTATATCAAAAAAGCAAAAATAACAGAAAAACAGGCAATATATGTTATAAATTCTGTGATCCTTGCTAGATTTAGCTACAGAATCCAAAATATATTTATATCGAATTCAATATGCCAGATAATAACAAACAGATATACATTAATTGTCAAACAGAAAGCTAGTCTTGCTAAATCTGTTCCTAACTCAATCTTATAGTGTTATCATATATATAATCTAAAGACGATGAATAATATACAAATATAACAACTCTTTGCTAACTAGTGTTATTTGTTAAATCACAGAAGTTTCAATTATCTCTCTATTTACAGTCAAATAGTATAACTTCAAATGCTACTACAACTAACCAAAAAAATTATCCTCTCAAACTAATGGAAAACTCTAAACTTTACAATCATAAATCAACTTATACCTATAT